CTTCAGCCTATTTATTTCATGGAAGATTTTTCTTTCCCCTTCAATTATAATAGACATTTTGGCTGGATGTAGTAATCTGGGTTGGTATCTGTGGTCATTTAAAACTGGGAATACTTTGGTCCAGGCTCTTCTGGCTTTCATAGGTTGCACTGAAAAGTCAGCTGTAATCCTGATAGGTTTTCCTTTGTATGTTGCTTGTTTCTATTTTGCAGCTTTCAGAATTGTCTCTTTGCTTTGTTTGTTTAGTGTTTTTAGTTTAATGTGCCGTGGAGAATTTCTTCTGGTCTTGTCTGTTTGATGTTCTATATGTTTCTTGTATTTGTATGGGCATTTCTTTCTTTAATTTTTGGAAATTTTCTTCCATGATGCTGTTGAAGATCTGGTCCATGCCATTATCTTGGGATTCTTCTCCTTCCTGTATGCCGATGATTCGTAAGTTTGGTCTTTTATTGGTATCACTCAATTCCTGCATTTTCCATTCTTGTGATTTCTTAAATTTTTCATAATCTTTGCTTGAATGGTCTAGTTCATCCACTTTAGCTTCCAGTCTTGATATTCTGTTTTCCATTTCATTCATCCTATTGGTGATGCTTTCTCCTGTCGTTTCTAATTGGCTTACTGAGTATTTCACTCCCTTCATTTCAGCCTGAGTATTCTTCAGTATTTCTAGCTCTTTACTGAATTCATTCAGAAGTTTATCCCTATCTTCCTTCAGTTCTTTGATTTCTTTTTTCGTGTGTTCTTTAAATTCACCAAATTCTTTTATCATGTTTATGATTGTTCTTTTTAGTTCCATGTCCTGGATTATCTCTAGGGGGTTCTCATTGTACTCCTCTAGAAGACTGTTGGCATTTGGTGGGGATATGTTATTTTGGTTTTTCATGTTATTATTTTTTCTCTGTGATTTTGACATGTGAATTTCTTTTGTAGTTTCTGATTGTTGTGTGAGTTTCAAGCATTCAAGTTTAGGTCTGCTTCTTTTTGTTAACTTTATGTGTCTTTGTGGTTTACTTTTTTGGGCATGAAAAGCTAATTCCTCTTAGCTTCCATTCTCTCCTTTGATTTTATTTTGGAGTGGCCAGATTGCTTTTGTCTTCAGGAGTTCCCACAGAGGCCCAAGGCAGATGAGGATCAGATACTCTCAGGCTTTCTCCTAAGGTCTGGATCCCTCCAGGAAAGATTTTGGCCTCAGGAGTTTGGGTGTTGGCCTGGCCTGGGAGCTGGGCCCAGGAAAGATGCCATTCTAGGGCAGCTTTTGGCAGTGCCACCCAGAGATGCAAAGGAAGATGGGGGCGGGAAGCAGCCCCAGGGCTCCTGGGGAGTGCACTGAGGAGCTGGGTTTGGTCTGGATGCAAAGGATGAGGAAGAGGAAAGGTCAGCCTAGGTGTCCAGGAAAGAGGTTGGCGGGTTGTGCATACCCAGGGAAGTAGAGGGAGGTCAAGGCAGGGCCAGGCCCAGAGTGCTTCTGTGGACCCAAGAAGGAACTAAGTTGGTCTAGATTCAAAGGATCTTGAAGCAGTGTTGGTTCCCCAGTACCTGGGGTGCCAAGACAAGGAATGGGACAGGACCCAGGCTTGGAGGAGAGGTGGTCGGGCAAGATTGGAGGGTGAGTGTGGCTGGGGGAGTTAAGGCCTGGCGGGCACAATTGACGTACTGCGAGAGATGCTTGCAGGTCAGAGAGAGCCAAATTCAGGTCTTTATGCTGAAGGCAAGCAGTTTACTGATTGAGACATCTCCCCTGCCTTTGTCAGGGCATATGGTGCCTTCTTCTGGCCTCTGCAGGTGTCTGCACGCATGTGGTGCACATACCGACAAGCAGGTGCCCACACATAGACATAAATAAAATTAAATAGAAATTTAAACCCCATCTTTGACATTATATACCCACATAGGATGCTCCAAGAAATGTCTTTCCTTTCCTCTCCCTACTACTTCCTCCCTCTCAAGACAGGATCCCACGTAGCCCCGACTGGCCTTGCATTTGTTTTGTAGCTAAGGGTGATCTTGAACTTTCCATTCTCTCCTGCTTCAACCTCTTGAATTCTGTGGTTACAGGTGTACAACACCATGCAGGTTTTATGTGGTGCTGTGCATTTAACCCAGCCTTGAAAGTTCTTCATGGATTTTTATTGTAGAATATTTCAAATGAAGGATAATTTGTCATCATACAGATAATTAAAAATTTAGTGTTTTATCCTACTCAGTTGAGATTGTTTAGATACATCGAAGTTTATAAGTAGAGCCCCACTTTGTACCTCTTCCCAGTAATACCTTCCTATTTTTTTTGGAATAGCATTCTGAAATTAGAATTTATTACTCTTATGATATAATGATACATTACTATTTTTATTTATTTATTTTATTTTATGTGTTTGAGTGTTTTACCTGCATATATGTAAGTGCACCCTTGTTTGCAATGCCTGCAGAGATTAGAAGAGGCATTGGATCCCCCGGAACAGGAGTTATGGATGGTTGCTAGCTACCATATGGCTCCTTGGAATTGAATCCAGGTCCTCTGCAAGAACAGCTAGTGGTCTTAACTGCTGAGTCATTTCTCTAGCCCCTGATGATACATTTTTAATCCCAAAAGAGTAAGGAATTGTTTTCCTGGTTTCGTACTTAGTGCTCATTTAGTATATTTATGAATTTAGTCTGTGGAGCCAGGTGGTCTTGGTTTGCCGTTTTCGGCTTTAATGTTGATATATGTATTTCTGTTTTCAGTTTTGCTCATTTTGTTTTTTGCTTTGTCAGCATGTACATTTAGGCCTTTTGAGTTACTTGGCTCTTGTAGTGTTCAGAACTGCTTCTCTTCTTTCTGAGAATAGCCTGTTTTGAAGCTTACTGTAGCTGATGTCATTATGGCCTCTCCATCACCTCTTGAAGATAATGAGTCTTTTACTCTTGTTGAAAAGGTATTCTGTGTTGGCTTTTGGAAGATATTTTTGATATATACAGACTCTTGTGTAGATAACGTTTTTTCTTTTAGTATTGTTATTCTGAGTGTGCTGTTTCTCCCCATTGCATTGTCCTGACAGGAAAGCTGTCCGCAAGATTGATAATTTTTTAGAATTCAAAATTTCTTTTTTCCTCTGGATCTTCATCAGAGTCTTTTCTTTCTTTCTAGCTTCTGTTAGTTTGATTCGAGAGCAGGTGTGATGTTCCTGGGTGCTATGGCCTGGAGTTCATTGAGCTTCTTGCCTGGGAGGATTTGTATTGCCATGAAATCTGGAAATGTTTTGGCAATATTTTTGTGCAAGTATTTTCTGATCCTACTCATCACACTTCTGAGACTCCAGTCAAGTATATGTTTAGCTGCACATTCGTTATTTCAGTTTTATTTCCCTGATTCACTGTATGTGGTTTCTGCAATGTCTTCCAGTTAGCGCCTGTCTTCTCTGCTGTTACTGCCAGTCAGTGAAGCTTTTGTTTAAGACACCACGCTTTTTCTAAAGACCTCACTTGGTTCTTTTTTTTTTTTTTTTAAATCTTTTTGAGACAAGGTCTCCCTGTAGTCCCACCTGGCCTAGAACTCCCTATATATAGATGAGGCTGGCCTCAAACTCACAGAGATCCTCCTGGCTCTGCCTCCTGAGTCCCTGTATCAAAGGCCTGGGAACCATGCCTGGAGGTTCTTTCTCTTTTTTTCAATCTTACGTTTTCTCCTTGTCATGCTTATATTTTTTATTTAACTTTGAATGTTTACAATATTTACATTAGATGGTTAAGATTATCATATCCTAATTCCAAGTGTCTGTCATTTCTGGGTCTCTTTTTTAAAAGTAGTTTTAAAAAATGTTATTTTTTATTTTATGTGTATATTGCCTGCATGTAGGTAAGTGCACCTGTGTCATGCAATGCCTGTGGAGGACAGAAGAGGCCATCGGATCCCCTGGAACTGGAGATACAGACAGTTGTTACCTGCCATGTGGGTGCTGGGATTCAAGCCCAGGTCTTCTGCAAGAACAGCCAGTGTTCTTAACCACTGAGCCATCTCTCCAGCCCCTCTGGGTCTCTTTTGACTCTCTTTTTCTCACATGGTGCCCTCATCTGCATGCTATCCCTTGCACATGTTTCCTCTCTTGTTAATCACCCAGCCTCTCTTCAACTGAGACACCTGGGATGTGTTTAGTTTCTCCTTGTGTCAGGGTCAGAAAATTGTGTCAGGTTAGAAATCTGAGCCTTGGTGGTCCTTAGCTTGTTTACTTCCATTTTCTCGGTCTTGATTATCCTGCATTGCTTGTTGTAAAATCCTAAAAGAACTGATCTTGTATTTTGACCAATTTTATACTTATTTATAACAAGAGGGCAGAAATAGTAGACACTGGACTAAATTGAACTCTTTCAGTAACACAAAGAAAACGAGGCTTTTAAAGTCCAGTGAGGTTCAGATTTTGCTTTTGATGGTACCAAAGGTCTAGAAAAGAAAGAGTCTTACAAAGTCATATAGTTGAACACCTGGTTTATAGATGATAAAATTGAAGTAAAAGGAAGCAAACTAACTTGCCTGGCGATGTCTGATCTGGGTTTCATAGCTTAGATAGAACAAGGTCTCTTTATTCCTGCTGTATTGTTACTCTCTGTAATGTCCTGTCTTTTTACTGTCTCAACTCCATAGAGTGTATCACTCAGTAGAGAATGCACTAGTAATGGTAAAAGTGACACTAATAGTTCTATTCACTTATGTTTCAAATATTTACTATTTCTTTTTGTTCTTGCTTGGGTTGAATTTTAGTAAATGGCAGCATTTTATAGTAGATCATATAATATTATCTAATAGTGTTACTAAATCAAGTAATGTGTCTATAGAGATCAATAGTTTAAAAGTCAATAAAATAGAATGGACAGAATTATCTTGCTATGTCTTTTTCTGCTTTGTTTATTTCCTAAATACTATTATTTTACGTGTCTCATTAACTATATTAATTACCTAACATTTTGCTATATTGAATAATGCATTTCAGTAATTTTAAAATTGACACTCCTTTCTTCTTTCCTTCAAGGATATTTCTTTGATGGAACAAATGTACCTCAGACCATCTCAGATGCAAATAGAAACAGCCCAGATGGAAGCAGAGCCGAAGTCACAGATGAGCACAGAGGAGCCTCCAGTTAAGGTGATGGCTCTAGTAAAAATCTTTCTTCCCCATGTTAAAGTAATGTGTGTTTCCTGTAGCTTGCATATTTATACAAGGTTAAAAACAATTTCCTCGAACTTATTTTAGGAGCGTGTTTAGGCATCTAATCCAAAGCCACATGGGGAGTGCCAGCTAGTCTTGGCTCTTGGAAACCTTTTTGAGTAAGGGTCAAACTCTTTCCAGAAAGAAACATTTTTAATACCTCTCCTAGTTTAGAGACATTCAAATCTAGAGGACAGCTTGAGATTTAATTAAAAGTTCTTAGCTTCTAAGGAAGCATCATTAAATCTGTGCTTAGTGAGAAGAATTGTTAAAAGCACTGAGAAGGGGAACGTTGGGTTGAGTAATACAGATGGTTGGTGACAGAAGCTTGTGCCAGAAATACAGCTTCCCTTTTGTCCACCACTGGCAAAATGATTATGGAATTCAAAACAATCTGGAACACGTTCTCTGAGAATGGGAAGCATTTCCACTTAAAAGTCAATATTAAATAAAAGTAAATGAATTAAAAATAAATCCACATTTATATAAAAAGACATGATGATCAAGTTGCTTTACACAGGATTTATAATATAGAAACTCATTTTCTGAAAATATCATCATGAATGTAGTTGAGATCATACTTTACTTTTCAGATACCATGTTCAGAAAATATACAGAATCCTCTCTTTTCATGAAGCCTTGGGACCTGTAGTGAGGGATGTCACAATTGGTAGAACTGTTAAGAGTTTGAGGTGCTTCTGGTCAGACTTTATCTTTGTTCTCCTTTGTAGTCATACCGCCTGCCTCAGGACCACGCATGTAACTGGCATTAGTAGCCACTTACCAGTGGTATGTGGATAAGTCAGTTGCCAGGCCTTATCACACAAGTAAGTGTGAGCCTGACTAACTTCTAGGGTAACTGCCTCAAGGTAGCACTATTTTTACAGATACTTAGGAATGTCTCTGGCTTTAATTAATACTATAGTAATTAATCCTATAGTAGAGTAAATTGAAATGGAAGAGGAATTATTCTTAGAACAGAAATCATTGGTAGAATGAAATTGATCCAATACCATTGACTTCATTTATGTTAGGTAGAAGAAAAGAAATTATTTTGAAGTGAATATTTAACTGTCAAGTGCTTAGCTTAGATAGTATTTAATTATTTAAAATAAGGAGTGGTGGCACAGGCCTTTAATCTCAGTATTCAGTAGGTAGAGGCATTCAGATCTCTGTGAGTTGGAGGCCAGCCTGTTGTACATAGCAGTTCCAGGCCAGCTAGGTGTCTCAAACAGCAACAACAAAACATAGGGTGGCTGCGTATCTGAACCCACAACACTGGTGACGGTGTGCACAAGAACTGTGCAAACACAGGCCAGACAGAAACCCAGTGTGGAGGGGGAGGTTGGCAAGAAGCACTGCATTTAGCTAAGGATCTACTGACAATTGATAGCTGCTGGGAGAAGGAGAGTTATTTTTCCTTACTGGCATGCCACTTGGTAGGTTGACTAGACTCCAAGAGATAGACCCACACCCAAGAGCATTCTGGAAACACAAAATAGACTCAGTAGGCCTTAAAGACAAATAATAGGAGACATGAAGTTGACGAGGAGCTTGGTAGTAAGTAGTTGGTGGTAGAGAAGGGAGAAGAGGTTGGATATAACCAAATTCATTTACTGAAATTCTCAAATAAATAAAGCGATTTAAATAAAATATGAAATAAAGATTTAAAATCTTTAAAACCATAATTTTCCTTGTGATTGTGCATGAAACGGTCTTTTAAATTTTACATTTACAAGACATTAGATATTTTCTGTCCCTTTGTGAAGGAACTAACCACTTATTTTTTTTTAAAAAAGAACATTCTAGGCAGGTAGGATGCCTCCGTGGGTAAGGGTGCTTGCTGCTGAGCCTGGTGACCTGAATTTGACCCTCAGGACCCTCATGGTGGAGAGAGAGAAGGAACTTCCACAAGTTGTTCTTTGACCTGCACATGTGTGGTGTGAGCCGTGGTGAATGTGTGTGTGTGCAAATACAAATAAGTAAAATAAATGTGTAATAAAAATTTAAAAGAGTGACTTCCTTGGGCTGCACAGCCTCTGGGCGTCCTGGTGCCAGCACCTTCCCTGGGTAAGCCCAGCGCGCCTTGACTCTCTCAGCCTCTTTCACCCTCCCAGCTCCCCCGCCATGTCTCTCCTCATGGCCTGGGTACAGGCCCATTTCTTGTCTTGGCACCCCAGAAACTGGGGCTAACCTCTCGGCCCAGAGCCACCACTGCTTCCTGATCCTTTGCATCTGGATCAACCCAGTTCCTCCCTGCTGCCCCACAGGAACCCTCTGGGCCTGGTCCCGCTCTCACCTCCCTTTACTTCTCTGGGTGGCAAAGCCACCAGCTTCCTGAGACCAGCATTTATCCTGGACCCTTCTCCCAGGCCAGCCCACCCCCCAAATTCCCGAGGTCACCATCTTTCGTGGAGGGATCCAGACCTTAGGAGAAAGCCTGAGAACATCTGAGCCTCATCTCACTAGGGCCTCTGTGGGAACTCCTGAAGACAAAAGCAGTTAGGCCACTCCAATATAAAATCAAAAGAGAGAACCTGAAGCCTAGACCAACCAGCTTTTCATGCCCAACAAATAAACCATAAATGCACATAAAAGGCACATAATTTTTTCTTTCACAAAAAGAAGCAGATCTAAACTCAACAAAGGAAGGCTTGAGTCTCACATAAGAATTAGAAACTATGAAAGAAATTCACATGTCAAAGTTATAGAGAAAAAATAACATGAAAAACAAAAATAATATATTCCCATCAAGTACCAATAATCTTCTAGAGGAGTACAATGAGAACTCCCTAGAGATGACACAGGATATGGAACTCAAAAGAACAATTACAAATATGATAAAAGAATTCAGTGAATTTAAAGAACACACAAACAAAGAAATCAAAGAACTGAAGGAAGATAAGGATAAACTTCTGAATGAATTCAGAAGAGTTAGAAATATTGCAGACTACTCAGACTGAAATGAAGAAGGAAGTGAAACACTCAGTAAGCCAATTAGAAATGACAGGAGAAAGCCTCACCAATAGGATGAATGAAATGGAAAACAGAATATCAAGACTGGAAGCTAAAGAGGGCCAACTAGACCACTCAAGCAAAGATTATGAAAAATTTAAGAAAACAAGAATGGAATATGCAAGAATTGTGTGACACCATTAAGAAAAACCAAACTTACGAATCATAGGCATTACAGGAAGGAGAAGAATCTCAAGATAATGGTATGGGACAGATCTTCAACAGGATTGTAGAAGAAAATTTCCAAAAATTAAAGAAAAACATGCCCATACAAATACAGAAAGCATATAGAACACCAAATAGACAGGACTAGAAAAGAAGCTCTTCATGGCACATCATAGTAAAAACACTAAATGTTCATAACAAAGAGACAGTACTGAAAGCTGCAAAAGAAAAACAAGTCACGTATAAAGGAAAACCCATTAGGATTACAGCTGACTTTTCAGTGAAAACTATTAAAGTCAGAAGAGCCCAGACCAAAGTATACCCAATTCTAAATGACCACAGATGCCAACCCAGATTACTTTACCCAGCCAAAATGTCTATTATAGTCGAAGGGGAAAGAAAAATCTTCCATGACATAAATAGGCTGAAGGAATTCATGTCCACAAAACCAGCCCCTCAGAAAGTTCTTGAAACAATACAAAGAGCTGAAGAAAAGAATGACTATGCACAAGAGGTGATGGAAAGAAATTCAATGAAGGTATAGCTGTGGAAATGCACAGCTATATCAAGAATGTGAACAGATATAAAAATGACAGGATTAATACATATCTTTCATTAATAACTTTAAATAGAAATGGACTGAATGCCCCAGGCAAAAGATACAGATTACTTGACTAGATTAAGAAACAAAACCCATCTTTTTGTTGTCTGTAGGAGGCTAGGCATGAGACCAACAGTGCAGGCGCACCCTGCTTCCTGTTGATGAACAGGAAGTCGCTGACTGGAAATCTGCCCTGGCAGCTAGAAACCAACAACACATCCACAGCTCCAATAGAAGGATGCCAATGGGACATAAGGGACCAATGGGAGGAGGGAAGGGGGTATAAAGGAGACGGTTATGTTCACAATAAACGAGCTCGCTTGCACATTGCCAAGTCTGTGTCGTTGATTTCATGCCTACTTATCCCCTGCCCCCGTGGGGAGGAGGTCAAAGGGACCTTGGCTGCAACATCTGGTGCCCAGTGTGGTAGATGGACCCCATGTTGACCTTGGCGATCTACACCCTTTTCATTTTTCGCTTCTGGATTGTCATTTTTACAATCTGCTGTGCTGACTGCACCTGCCCCTCACCTTTCCCGCCCCTCTCGATCAACACACTTCTCGGTGTCCCCTTTGGCTGTTTTCTTGGTAAGTAGGCTCCTTTCTGTTATTTGTTCTTTGCCTTCAGTCTGGTGAGTGACCAAGGCCCATCTCATCCTCTCATTTGTCCATGTTTGTCTGTCCATAGGGCACATATCCTGAAAATTGGTTTGCCCAGTGTCTCCACATAAGGACTGACCATCCAGGAGATGGAACCACGGACACCCGACAGGGTGTCCCATGACTGGAGACACCGTGTGGGCATACGGCCATGGCCTAATGAACCTCGAAAGTCCCCCACCAAGCATACTGATACCCGGTTCCTAAGCACCACCTTTCGCTCTTCTTCCTCCCTTACTTTCACTTTTGGTTTCGATATTTGCCTCCTTTCTCTCAAAACCGGTGCTGCAACCACCAGTTAAACGCCCCTAGGGCGGTGGCAGGTCTCTTAAATTTGAGGGCAGGCTCCTCGATGCTCAAAACTGTGAAATCCCCTTCCGCCTTCTTGGTAAGGCTGGTCGGAACATTTCCTTTTTCGGTGCAGCTTCCTTTTTCTTACTTTCAAGTGTATTTTGTCTGTCTGTGCCCCCCTTTCCCACCCCCTTCCCACGACATGG